CATTGACTTGGCCACGCCCACATGATCACATGACCACTGAGCCCCCGCCTACCCAGCTGGCCATTAGGGCGGAGAACTGGTTGGTAAATTATTTGAATCCCACCACTGCTCCTGCAGCACCCAGCCGGCCAAAATGGGAAAAGGGGGGCCTCACACAGCCCTCTATGCCCCATTTTGGCTAGCAAAATGCTGCGGAAGGCATCAAGGCTGATGGAGCCCCACCATGCAGCCCCACCATGCCCCGTTTTGGCTGGCAGAATGCTGCAGGTGATTGTCTTGGCCCAAAATGGGGCACCGGGGCCGCATACATTTTGGCGGCCAGAGGCCACACAGGCCCGTCCTTTGCTATTTCTAGGCCGGCCCCGCGGGCCAGATTTAAGCACCCCATGGGCCAGAGTTCGACACCTCTGATTTAAATAAATAAATCCTTTGGCCGGGTCCAGTGATAATGTTCTATTTCTGAACAGCAATCAGATCAGAAGCCCTGAACACAATGCCTCCCTATTAGACTAATGCATTGATATTTTTTTTAAAGGATTATGAAAATAATAACACTTTAAAAATATGACGTATGGTGTATAAACACTAATTAGCATCACTTAAGCAAATTAAGTGTTTTGAGACTTCTTGACTGATAAAATAAAATCTCCCAAGTGTTAATTACATCAACAATACATATCTTGTCATCATAAGCATAAAACAGAAGTTTCCCTTTTCCTACAATATTTTGTTTTTAGAGGTAATAATTATTTTATTTAGCAAGGAAAAAGACTGTTATTATCGAGCACAATATAGGCAATCTAAATTTTCCTTAATACATAGTCTATATTTACATGACATACCAAACCACAAACCACCTAACTATATTTAATCCTAGCACAGAGTCCAAACTCAGTTTGCGGGGCCTATTTATGGTTCTCTGAGTCATTCCAATCCATACACTTTTGTTGAAGAAATGTGGTTAAATTAGCCAGCACATGTGCTTTACAATCACTGACATAAGCTACTTAACTTATGAAGCCCTTCATGGTATTGGACCTGGGTACTTGAGAGACCACCTGCTGCCAATTACCTCCCATAGACCCATTAGATC